GGGGGGCACAGGGACACCCCTGAGCATCAGGACACCCCTGGGGGGCACGGGGACACCCCTGGGCATGGGGATACCCCCGGGGGTACGGGGGGGACAGAGGGGTTGGCACAGGGATGGGGGGGGCTCAGGGAGGTCCGGAGGAGGGTCAAGGAGGGCCATGGGGGGAACATGGGGGGGTGTTTGGGGGTGTTCAGGAAGGGCCACGGAGGGGACAGAGAGGCCATGGAGAGATGGGGGGTCCATGGGGGATATGGGGAGGGGTGTTGGGGGGCTCAGGGAGGGCCATGGGGGTGACAGGGGGGTCAATGGGGGGCCTTAGGGAGGGTATTGGGGGGAGCTCGGGGGGGGCCATGGGAGGACACAGAGGAGGCCAAGGAGGGGGGACAGGGGGTCCCTGGGAGGGGGTTCAGGGAGGGCTGTGGGGGGCGCTGGGGGTGGGGGGGCAGGGTGGGGGTGCCTGCAGTGTGTGATGGGGCTGGGGTGGGGGTGCAGCCCCCCCTGTCCCTCCCTGACCCCTCCTGTCCCCCCCTGCGCCCCCCTGCCCCAGGAGGTGCTGCTGAAGCGGGCGGCTGACCTGGTGGAGGCACTTTATGGGATGCCCCACAGCAACCAGGTGGGCACCCCCCAGGACCCCCCTGGGGACCCCCACCCTGGGAACACCCCTGGGACCCCCCTTCGGGAACCCCCCCGGGAACATCCCTGGGACCTCCATCTTGGGACCCCCACCCTGGGAACATCCCTGGGACCCCCATCTTGGGACCCCCACCCTGGGAACATCCCTGGGACCCCCCCCAGGGACCCCCACCCTGGGAACACCCCTGGGACACCCCCCCCCGCCCCCCTGCCCTGACACTGTGACATGGGCTGGTGCTGTGCTGGGGGTGACACGAGGAGGTGGCACTGTAGGGTGACATTGTACTGGGGGTGACACTGAGGGTGGCACTGTGGGGTGATGCTGTGGGGTGACACTGGGGGAGGGTGACACCATGGGGTGCCATTGTGCTGGGGGTGACACCATAAGGTGTCACGCTGTGCCATGAGGCAACGCTGTGGGGTGACACCATGGGGTGACACGAGGGGGTGATGCTGGTGCCACACTGTGCCATGAGGTGACACCATGGGGTGACACTGTGGGGTGACACCGTGGGGTGACACTGTGCTGGGGGGTGCCACCATCCTGTGGGGTGACACCATGGGGTGACACTGTGGGGTGACACTGTGCTGCAGGGTGCCACCATCCTGCGGGGTGACACCATGAGGTGCCACCATGCTGGGGGGTGACGTGTGGGGGGTGCCACACTGTGCCACAGGGTGACACCATGTGGTACCCCCCGGGAGCTCTGTGATGACTCTGGCTCTGTGGGGAGGTGACACGTGCGGTGCCCCCGGGTGCCCGTGGTGACTCTGTGGGGTGTCCCCGGGGCTCTGTGGGAAGGTGACACGTGTGGTGCCCCTGGGGGTGCCCGTGGTGACTCTATGGGGAGGTGACACTGTGTGGTGCCAGCCCGGGGGCTCTGTGGGGAGGTGACACTGTGTGGTGCCCCCAGGTGCCCATGGTGACTCTATGGGGAGGTGACACTGTGTGGTGTCCCATGGGCTCTGTGGGGAGGTGACACATGTGGTGCCCCCGGGGGTGCCCGTGGTGACTCTGTGGGGTGACACTGTGTGGTGCCCCCATGGGCTCTGTGGGGAGGTGACACGTGTGGTGCCCCTGGTGACTCTGTGGGGTGACACGTGTGGTGCCCCTGGTGACTCTCTGGGGAGGTGACACTGTGTGGTACCCCCTGTTCCCCGCGGTGACGGTGTCCCTGTCCCTGTCCCCGTCCCCGTCCCTGTCCCTGTCCCTGTCCCTGTTCCCATCCCTATCTCTGTCCCCGTCCCTGTCCCTGTCCCTGTCCCTGTTCCCATCCCTATCTCTGTCCCTGTCCCTGTCCCTGTCCCTGTCCCTGTCACCAGGAGGTGCTGCTGAAGCGCGCTGCCGACATCGCCGAGGCTCTGTACAGCGTCCCCCGCGCCCCCGGCCCGCTGCCCCCCGCCCCCGTGGGGGTCCCGGCCTTCGGGGGGGGCCCAGCTGGGGCTGCCCGTGCCCGAGTCCCCGCAGGGCTCCGACCAAGGTGGGCCCGGCCCCGCGCTGGGGGCGGGAGGGGCTCCATCCCCCCCCCTCCCCTCCCCGCCCGGTGCCACCCGTGTCCCCACCCGTGTCCCCACCCGTGTCCCCACCCGTGTCCCCACGTGTCCCCGTGTCCCGCAGGGTTCTCGCGCAGCCCCGGCACCCCCCCGGCGCGGGGGTTCGGCCCCCCCGGCTCGGCCCCCCAGCAGGGCTATGCCGGGGGCACCGGCGCCTTCGGGGGGGGCACCATGGCCGGGCTGGGGGTGCCCGGGTCCCCCCCCAGCTTCCTGAGCGGCTCCACCGCCACCTCCCCCTACGCCAGTGAGTGCCGGCCCCGGGGCGGGGGGAACGGGGGGGGGGCTGGGGGGGGGGGGGGGGCCGGGGGGGGTCCCCGAAGGCGTGGGGGGGTTCCTGGGGGGTCGTGGGAGGGTCCCTGGGGAGTTTCCACTGATGTGCCAATGCTGGGGGGTCCCCGAAGTCATTGGGTGTTGCTGGGGTCCCCAAAGTTGTGCGAGGGTCCCTGGGGGGTCCTTAAAGTCGTGGGAGGGTCCCCAAAGTCGTGGGAGGGTCCCTGGGGGGTTTCCATTGATGTGCCAATGCTGGGGGGTCCCCGAGGTCATGGGGGGTTCCTGGGGGGTCCCCGAAGCCGTGGGAGGGTCCCTTGGGAGTTTTCATTGATGTGCCAATGCTGGGGGGTTCCCAAAGTCATGGAGGGTCCCCGGAGTCATAGGGGGGTTCCTGGGGGGGTCCCCAAAGTCATGCCAAGCCTGGGGTGTCCCAAAGCCGTGGGCCAAAGCTGGAGTGTCCCCACAGCCGTGTACCAGCCCTGGGGGGGTCCCCAGAGTCATGGGGGGGGTCCCTTGGGGGTCCCCAAAGTCACGTGCCGGGGGGTGTGTCACTGCCCCCGCGGTGTCCCCGTCCTGTTTGTCGCTGTCCCCGCGGTGTCCTCACAGTGTCTCCCCCTTCGGGGGGGGGGGTC